ACCAGATTCGGGCTGAATCCGAGTGGGACCAGAACTAGGATTCTAGGACGTGAATTGATGTAATTTTCTTGTAAGGAAAGCCTAGATAAATCCTTTGCTTGTACGGGAAGTCCAGCCGCCTCTTATATATGTTGGGGGTGACGGCCGATTGAACAACACACAATCGAACAAATCTATCTACATCTTTTACCTTTACTTTTCCTTCTCCCTTGTTCTTCTTCTTCCTCGTTCTTCGTTCGTTCTTCTTCATTGTAAGGCGGCGAACCTCGAGGCCCTAGGGGCGATTAGGTCGACCTAGGGCAGCCCATAGCCGCCGCACGTCCAAACGGGGTCCCTCCCGGGCGCGTGGGGTTTCGGGTCCTGAAAAGCGCCCGCCGGATTGTCTTGCATACCGCGCTTTCGGCAGGTCTCCTTCGACGTGAGCTGCGGTGCATCACTCCCGGCGTCGAAGGTACACGGTGACGTGTTCGTGTGCGAACATTTTGCAGTTTGGCCCGAAATGGACTGCTTCCAGCCGGCCCAAGGTGGCAAGAAGCTGGGCTTCGCCGCCCCAGTTGGGCTGCCAGCTCACCCAGGCGCTGGGGAAAGCTGGCTCGCTCCAGAACAGTTTGCTGCACTCCACGTGAAGTGAGAAGTGAGGCTAGAAGCTGGATATGAGAAGTTTTTGAGAAGCTAGCAAGTCTCCGAACAGGCCCTTAGTCTCTGCCATACTTCGCTTCTGTCCTTCATTGCTCTCGTGCAACATGGGCTTTATCCCTCACCCTCTCTGCTATCTCAAGTGGGTTGTCAGCATGTACTTGTATGACCTCTATTGTTCCCTCCTACAATTCAATACTCCCTTCATTCCATAATGTAGGTGCTTCCTCTAACCCCATGTTTTAACTTTGACCATAAATTTAACTACCAAGACCGATTGCGGCGGGAGCAAAAATTATATCAGTAAACTCGTATTCAAAAATAGTTTTCAATTATATAATTTTTTCTCCCGCCGCACTTGGTCTCGTTGGTTAAATTTATGGTCAAAGTTAGACCTCAGAAAGCGCGGGCACACTATATTTTGGAATGAAGGGGGTATTAGTAGGCATCATCTACAAGGTTAACCTCTCTTCATGATCCAACAATTCTTCTCCTTTCACGGCTTCCTCCCAGATTTCGCTCAAAGATGAACAACAACTCTGACATTAGTTTTTTTACCATTTTTTGTTGAGTAGTGATTGGATGTATAACAACCTGAACATTTATGTGTTTGTTCTATTCTCTAGTCCAATTCTATATATTTTTTACGTAAAAGTTTACGAAGTTTGACTTCTAAAAAAAGTTGTGGGCTATATTTTTGAACGAATAGAGTACAATACTTCATGTAAAAATGTCGCTAATAGACATTCGCCCACTGATGACCCACACGTATAGGGGATCTATCGTAGTCCTTTCGATAAGTAAGAGTGTCGAACCCAACGAGAAGCAGAAGAAAATGACAAGCGGGTTTCAACAAGGTATTCTCTGCAAGCATTGAAATTATCGGTAACAGATAGTTTTATGATAAGATAATTCGTAATGGGTAACAAGTAAATAAAGTAACTAAGGTGCAGCAAGGTGGCCCAATCCTTTTTGTAGCAAAGGACAAGTCTAAACGAACTCTTATATAAAGAAAAGCTCTTCCGAGGACACATGTGAATTGTTGTCAAGCTAGTTTTCATCATACTCATATGATTCACGTTCGTTATTTTGATAATTTGATATATGGGTGGATCGATGCTTGGGTGCTGCCCTTCCTTGGACAAGCCTCCCACTTATGATTAACCCCTCTCGCAAGTATCTGCAACTATGAAAGAAGTATTAAGGTAAACCTAATCATCCTAACAATAGCATGAAACATCTAGATCCAAATCAGCCCCTTACGAAGCAACGCATAAACTAGGGTTTAAGCTTCTGTCACTCTAACAACCCATCGTCTACTTATTACTTCCCAATGCCTTCCCTTAGGCCCAAATAATGGTGAAATGTCATGTAGTCGGCGTTCACATAACACCAGTAGAGGAGAGACAACATACATCTCATCAAAATATCGAATGAATACCGAATTCACATGATTACTTATAACAAGACTTCTCCCATGTCCTCAGAAACAAACGTAACTACACACAAAGCATATTCATAATCATAATCAGAGGAGTATTAATTATCATTAAGGATCTGAAAATATAATCTTCCATCGGATAAACCAACTAGCATCAACTACAAGGAGTAATCAACATTACTAGCAACCCACAGGTATCAATCTGAGGTTTTGGGATAAAGATCGGATACAAGAGATGAACTAGGGTTTGAGAGGAGATGGTGCTGGTGAAGATGTTGATGGAGATTGACCCCCTCTCGATGAGAGGATCGATGGTGATGATGATGACGATGATTTCCCCCTCCCGGAGGGATGTTTCCCCGGCAGAATAGCTCTGCCGGAGCCCTAGATTGGTTCTACCCAGGTTCTGCCTCGAGACGGCGGCACTTTGTCCCAAAAGCTTCCTCTTGATTTTTTTCCAGGTCAGAACACACCATATAGCCAAAGATGGGCACCGGAGGCCTTCCAGGGGGCCCACAAGGTCGGGGGGCGTGCCTAGGGGGGTAGGGCGCGCCCTCCACCCTTGTGGCTGGCTGGTGGTTCCGCTCTGGTACTTTCTTCACCCAATATTTTTTATATATTCCAAAAAAAAGTTCCGTGAAGTTTCGGAACTTTTGGAGTTGTGCAGAATAGGTCTCTATTATTTGCTCCTTTTCCATTCCAGAATTCCAGCTGCCAGCATTCTCCCTCTTCATGTAAACCTTATAAAATAAGAGAGAATAGGGATAAGTATTGTGATATAATGTGTAATAACAACCCATAATGCAATAAATATTATTATAAAAGCATGATGCAAAATGTACACCCCCCTTATAAGAAATTTGTATTGCATTGTATTTTAACTAGAGATGATACCCAGTGCGCTGTGGCGGAACACTACTGATCTGGTTGGAATATATTGTTTTCATGATATTTCGTTGTCTTAAATTTGAATATGAGAGTAAGGACTAAAAATACATATGATTTATTATATTCTATTATTATATAGTTATACATATATATTTATTAAGTAGTACTCCCTCTGTTTGTTTTTATAAGACGTTCAGACAACTTGCTTTGTGTTGTTTTAAATAGTGTCTGAAAGTCTAAAACGTCTTATAAAAATAAACAGAGGTAGTACTTGTCATGCATGTTGAGAGAAGTAAAAGTAGCGGGGTTGAAAGTGGGATGTGTGCATGTTGAGAGAATTAGTATAGGTAGCATTTTCATGCATGCATTCGAAGATAAATAAAAATAATGGAGTTGATGAGATGGCATGTGTGCATCCTAACATAAATATAAGTAGTGAAGATCAACTACTTAAGTATATAGGATAATACACCGGTGGAGGGGTCAAATGGGAAAGTTGTGAATTTAGTTAAACGAAAGCTGAAAGTTTTGAGTTCTTTTCTGTTGGAGCCGACTGAGACCTAGAAGTTGTCCTGGATGCCAAAAGAACTAGTCCTAAAATTCAAAATGCATCATTGTCAAAAGAAAAAAAACAACCAGAGCGTGGGCGTGATACTGATTGTCAGTTTTGAAAGGGGGTAAAAGCATCTCTAACAACCCCGTGAAATACTCCTAGTGACCACCTATTGGGGGGGGGGGGCTTTCTAAAAAAACTTCCCTAATAACCACTTAATGGGGCTCCCCAACGAGGCTCATGAACATGATCTCGCATTCTTGCTCTATCTTCTTCGAATTCACTTCCTGCGCAAGGACTATCAATTTCTCTTCTTCAATTGTCGCCTCCAACCACCTTGACTCCTTCTCTTGTTTTTTCTTCATCTCCAACTCTTTTTTATTGCTATTATCTCTTTGACTGCCGTCTTGAGCACAACTGCATCTCCTGGTTTCTTTTGCTTATCTTTCTCACCTCTCCTTGATGGCATGTTGACTTTGGTAGTCGCCATTGAGTTGGGAGCAGAATACACTTCATCAACGTCATCAACGGCATCACCATTATTGTCCACTTCTAGAGTTGATGATGGTTTAGCCTTCTTCTTAAGTTGGAATCTCTCATTGTTCCATCTTTCCACTTCTTGTTGTATTGGAGCAAATACCCAACAGAGGATCATGACAAAATGACTAGCCTTTTGGATGCCTATGTTTGTAAAACTCATTCATGTAGTTGAGCTATCAAGTTAAACAAATCAGTAGCAAGTTCGATTCAAACATTTTTTCAGTTCTGTTGGGGCAACCTCAACGACGACATCATCAACGTCATCATGCGGAGTGGACAAAGAAATATCATCTATGCCTACCGATTCGTACATCAAGTTGAGATACGATTGTGGGATACATGTAGAAGTTTGCATCAAAGTTTATGCATATAGCCGCAACAAAACATAAATGAAAAAATATACCTTCCTTGTGCTGTCTCGAACAGCTTGTTCGTGTTGTCCATGTCGAAGTCACCGGCGGCTTCGAACAAGGTGGGGAAGACCAGGTGCTCACGTTGCATGTATTGTGGAGAGTATTGGGAGAGAGCCAGCCAACTCCTCTTCTATACAGGGGAAGTTGGGCTCTTTTTTGCTATCACCCAAAAAATATTGGAAAAATGGGGCGTGTCCAATTCCTTCAATATCAAAAAATTATTGAAGAAATGGGAGCCGTCCGAGATGCTTACAAAAGAACAACGAATGCGAAAATAGTTGTCCCGAATTTATAAGAGAAATAGTCTGACTTGTTCCAGCAACCAACCAGACAGTAACACACCATGTTTTGGAAAAAAAAAGACAGTAACACACCACACTTATGCCATGGACAAAATATCAACACACACGCAAGCTATTTTAAAAGGCAACAACGCATATCAATCAGTACATACACTCACTTATTGGTATTCCCTTCGTGAAGAAATATAAAAACATTTAGGTACAAACGTAAGGATAAGCCCAGGTAGCTAGCCAATCCTGGGAGCTTTCGTGACCTTGTCGTTGGAGTCGACGAACACCCTGACTCGGCCGGTGTTGTAATCCATGGTGACGAAGGAGTCGGCCGGAACGACGTGGACGCTGGCGTCCGGCTTGTGCTCTATGATCTTCTTCTTGGCCTCCTCCGACGACAGGCCCACCACCTCCGGCCACGAATTCTTCTCGGCGCCGACGCCGGCCGTCGCTCCCCCCGATTCCATTGCCTATCTGCAATACAAGAGAACCGGTCATGAGTTACGAACGCTTAAGAGGGACACAGAACGATGGGAGTAGTAAGAGAGGAAGCTGAGATTGCTAACCTGTTAGGCTTGAGTGTTTGACTAGCGAGTGTGCGTATGGTAGATTGGTGGATGCCGATGGTGCGTGCGTAATTGTGCCTTGCGGGTGTTAGTATTTGTAGGCCTGTAGCTGATCCGTGGGAGAAGAGGATGAGGACACAGGTTCTGTTTTCTTAACTTTTGGTAGCTCCGATGGGGCATTGGAGGCAACGGTCTCGACAGTCAACAGATGGCAGCTCGATGCAGTTTGTCTTCGAAAGTTCAGTGCAACACAAGAAGACCGAATTAATTAAGCTACCATTTGGCCGGCTGCCGGCTGGCCACTGAAGACTGTTAGAGCATCTCTAACCGGATCCTTACCCCATCCCATATGTTTGGGCTAACAAGTTCAAATTCAAACACTTTTCATATAAAAAAAAATATCCATTCGGAATCCCAAATCTAGCTCATATGTTTGAGCTGTCTGGCACCCCTCAAACACGGCCCATACGTGGGGCAGATTTTGGGTTGTTCGGACGTGTCCGTCATATCAGATTGACAGGGCTTGCCCACCTCAAATCTGTTAAAATTGACCAAATCAACCAAATTGACAGCCCTCTCCCTCATGTCCGCCCTCCCTTTCTTGCATCCATGTTGTCGCCCTTGCTCCGTGTCAGCATTGCCGACCTCCTCCTCCATCCTAGCCATTGACGCCCACTCCGCCATCTGCCCATCCCATGGAGAATGGCTCCACGGAGCCCGTCGGGGTCACTATTGTTGTGAACAAGGCGGGGACCATTGCCCGAACGAAGTGGTGCACCCGTGAGAAGAGAAGGAAGCTTATGAGAAGGCGGAAAGGAAGTCGTCCAGATGGAGTTAGCAGGGTCAGCTCCGACACCCTCCGCCACGCCCATGCTCAACGCCGTTCCGCCTTCGCATTGGGGGGGGGGGCATCCTAGATGACTTCACACTGGTAGAAGAGGACACCTCCCCCGAGTTGGAGTATGAGTCGCCGCAACTCTAATATTCGCGGACAACGTCAGACATGTGCACCAACTGTTCGACCAAAGTCCGAACCCAATGCATGTTTTTCTTGCCCCATATGCATTTTAGGATGGTAGTTTCATGTGATGCATCTTTATGACTCATTGCTAGTGGACATGATAAATGATGATCAAGAACCCCCAACTTATAAAACGGGTGATACCAATTCCCCTTTTGTATGATGTTGGGCAATAATTGGTGACGGAGCTAAATCCGGCAGATCTCAGGTAGGGGGGGGGGCTAAATAAGAGTATAGAGACTATAGTAACGAGGACACGAGTTTTTACCCATGCTCGGGCTCTCTTCCGAGAGAAAACCTTACGTCTTGCTTGAGTTTTATTAATTTTGGATGGAGAACAAAGTACAAATGATCTACCCTGTGATTGTTGTGTATCTCACGAGCCCTACCCCTCGGTTTGTACCATCTAGGGTTACCTCCAAGGTGGCTAATTACAAACAGAACAAGCTGTATTTAATCCCTAACATCTTGGAGTATACAACAAGTCTTCAGGGAACCTTCCTTTCATATGCCATGGGCTACTTGTCACGTCCATTGGTGAACCAACATAGGGTTCCTCAACCCGGCCCACCAGGTCAGGAGATGATGTGATGAGAGACCCACAGTTCGAGAAACCGTCAATTGCCTCTGAACTGGCCTCAAGTTTGGATGCACCTTGGTTTCTCTGAGTTTTTCTTCTTCTTGGATCATCGATCTTGAAACTGGTTCAATGAATCCATCTTTCGAAGCCAAGCCCTGGTTATCGGATTAGATCTGAGGCACTCAAATCCATCAAGGTCGCTGACGGGTATCTTGTCATTTGGCATTGCACCATAAGTTATAAATTCTCTGGCGCGGTCCTTCCTTAACCACAAAGTATTCCCGTGCCCAGGTCACGTAATGCCCTGTTCTGGCTCTCATAGCACGGACCTGCCTCGTCCATGGTCCCACTTGACCGTGCGGCGCTCTTGACTTGACGATCAACATGACGTGGAAACATGGGCCGAGGGGCCACCATTGTCCCGTCCTATCAAAAAAGAGATCATGTATATCGATACGCACGATGACCAACATCCACCTCTTGATCTTTGCACACAGTTAACATAAAAATCACGGGGAATGGTGGCATCAGTGGAGATGGTGCCGCCCTCTAGCCAGTGCCAGGCAGTGATGAAGCCTTCCTCTTATTTATTCCTTGTCTTGGCCCTTCTTCTATGGTGGAAATGGTCTTGCTGGAGAAATGGAGGTGTGAATGCTTGGATTGATTCGAGAGTTCCGGTAGCTAGGGTTGGATGCGTATATATAGGCAGCCTCCACGGATCTCCTTTGTAGATCCTCCACGTACCCCTCATCAAAGGGTTGTAGAGGAGTCTAATCCTATCCCAATACCTTCCTTGGTAGCCAAGGAACTCGTAGGAACAAACCAAGATGAAATCGGTGATTAATTGCAGAAGTTATGGATAATTTTGCAGCCCTAGGAGGCTGGTACGAGTGTTGGTACAACCTGGCATGACCATATCACATGTTGTTTTCTCTTTTGGAGTCTATGTGAAGTGTTAAGTAATTTGGACATCATTTCTTCATACAAACTCTGTTTTGAGTGTCCTTGGGTTCGTTGGAATCATGGGAACGAGTCTAATAGTCTCCAGGTACTGGATCATTAATATGAGGTATCTAGAAAAGATATTTTTTTATCAAACTTCTCAAAGGGTCTAAATCTGGTGATCGGAACTTCACCGGTTTGGCTCCAACTTGGACCTTTTCAATGTGGATTTTTATTAATAGAAATAGGCTCTAAAAGTGAGGCCAAAATCTACTCATCTCGATGTGGCCACCGGTCTTCAAGTCAATGCAACTATTATATTTCTTCCTAACGCTCTCCCTCATGATCACCATTTTTCACCTCTAGTAAATGCCCGCCCCTCGCAAACAGTCATGGCTATCATTGCAGCACACATAATGCAAAGAAGATTTTTGGGTGCCTCGAAATGCTGGCATTGTATTATCTATTCAGGGAACTTTAGTGGAGAGGGCTGAGGGGAACTTGGGACATTTCAACCGCAGTGATGGGAGATGGGGGTACTCTTTTACAGGTTGTGCTAGCTATGGGCATAGTTCACTGGGGGAATACAAGGGCATGCAGGTGGAATAGGATGACGGGAGACGAAAATCTGCACGCGTGTATGGAGAAAAAACGGCAATCTCACCCCTCTTTTACTCGCTCACCTCGAGCGGGAGGGCAATTCCAGGTCTCAGTTCTCAACATCGGCAGTGGCGGAGACTTCCCTCTATAAGCTACTTGTTCCCTTCGTCTTTGTCTTTGTTTTGTCTGCCTCGCCTCCGGCATGGGTTGGTCGTCGTTGTCTTCCATGGTGTTAACCAAAATGCAACCACCCTCATGCCTCGACTATTAGGTTGTTAGGTGTATCGTCCATCTATCCCTTACTTACCGAAATGTCGATTTCACAAGGACGAACCAACGAAGGTGCTTGTTCAGGATTCAACACTCATAGTTGTGATTCAATCCTAGGTCTTGGTCCATAAGCGAGCGGTTCCCGCAATTCTAAGCATGTGGTCAGATATGGTCCAATGTTAGACCGAGATATTGAGAGGATGGGCAATATGAACTACATCTACAAATGTAACGATGCTTCAAATGAGAAAAAAAATCCATTTCCCAAGCTTTTGAAGAGGTTCATGGGGAAGTGGTTGCTACAAGATAGCATCCACACCTCTGTGGAAGAGAAAGTAACAATGTTGCTTCATGTTGTAGGTCATAACCAGAGGTTCATATTGATTCACAACACATTGAAGAGATCCGTTGATACAATTTCATGGTATTTTAGGCAAGTGTCGTTATGATTGGAGAGCTCAGGGGAGAGAGGATCAGGGCACCTACTTGTCAAACTCCTTCGAAGATACACATGAGCTATATATGGTATCCACATTTTGATGTGATCTATACTAACCGTTAGTTCATGCCATGACATGTTTGTATTGTCGTGATCCATAACAGTTTTTTCATGCCATGACAGGATTGTATTGACGCAATAGATGATACTTGTCGGATTTCGGGTTCCGGTAGACCCTTGAGGTTCGAACACTGGGGTGCGCGCGGAGATTTCGCCTTCTACCTACCTGCACCCTCCGCCTCGCTAAGATCTAAGCTATGGAAAGAACAACACAAGAGACACAGGGTTTATACTGGTTCGGGCCACCGTTGTGGTGTAATACCCTACTCCAGTATGTGGTATGGTGGATTGCCTCTTGGGCTGATGATGATGAGCAATACAAGGAAGAACAGCCTCGCGAGGGTCTGTTCTTGGCTGGGGGGATGAACTGCTAGGAGGAGTTCAGTCACCCTTCTCTCTCTCTCTCTCTCTTCTCGATTCTCTCTCTGATTTCGATCCGATCTCCGATCTCCGATCTACCCTGTGGGTGGCTAGTCCTATTTATAGGCAAAGGCCCTGGGCCTCTTCCCAAATATTAAGCGGGAAGGGCGCCAACAATTGGCCATTTTGAAGAGGAACATCTGGTACACTTATCCTGACTAAAGTTGGTCCTCGCCTGCCAAAGGCTCTGGTGGTGACGCTGGCTTGGGCTCCACAATGACTTCCTCCCTGCCGTTGGACTGGTCTTGGTCTCCTTGCACCGAAACGGGTGCCTTTGCTTGATGCTCTCGCCTGCGCTTGCTCCCTTTGCACCAAAGAGGAAAGGAGGACACTGCACGGCTGGCGCCCGCCTGGCGCCTTTGGTCGTCATGGCTTGCGTCACGGGCACCTCGTGAGGTACCCCGCCTTGATCTCTCCGCCTCCTTGCGAGCCAGCCTGATGAGGCCGTGCCTGAGGAAGCTTCGTGTCGTCCGCCCTGCGAGGCTTGGCCCCTCGCGAGGGTCTTGGTT